TCAAAACTTTCTTTTTAAGACAATTTTTCAAATAGCTACACATATTCACCTCCCCAAACCTTTCTAGCGTCTCTTCTCGGTTCTGTTAAAGTGAGATAAAAATTTTAAGAATGTAACCTTTACAGAGGTTAGGGATTTTGATGAAATGATATTTTAGCCAAGAATCAGGCAAATAGTTGTGTGAATTTCCAAGTTGTATTGCATTTCAACACGGCACCTTTTGAATTGTGACAAGAAAAAAAAAACAAGAAAAGAAAGAAAAAGTGGTTTCTTACTGTCAAGTAAGTTATTGAAAGATTAAATAAACTAGTTACAAACTTGTTTTCCTTCTAGAGAATACAAACTCATTGCATGTCATAAGACAAAATCTTGTGACATTTTTGATACAACAAATCCTAAATATTTTCAGATAGAGGCTAAATTTAGGTGATCATATATTGACAAGTTAAAAAAAAAAATTAAAAAAAAATAAAGACACAAAAATTCCAGTTTAACTTTTTTTTTTTTTTTGAATCACTATCACCCCATGCAAGGTAGTAACGACAATAAAACACAAGGGGTTACAGGGTGTGAGAAAATTAGGGACAGAGACATAAATAATGAGAAGGAAGTGTAATCAGGAGGACAGTAGACCATGATTGTAATTGCATTTAAATTGTCACAGATTAAAATTGGCTTGAAATCTTGGAGCCAAAAGGGAATTCCATGAGTGAGAAGTGTGAAAAAAAGCATAGAACTTACAGTTACATCGAGCAAGCTTAACTCTAAAATGAAGAGATCTTGATGCCAGTCTGGTACTGCACTTGAATTCAAAGAGTTCAGGAACCATAGTAAAGAGCTCATCTGAACAATTGCCATGAAAGCATTTTTAAAAAAGGCACAGAGAGATAAGCTTACGGTGGTGGGAAAGTGACTAAAGTTGAGCTGCCAGATTAGGACCAATAATATTGCTGATTCTTTGGATTTTATCAAGGTACTCAAAGTAAATAGCAAGGGCACTGGACCATATGTGGCAGCAATATTCTAAGCATGCACGAATGAAAGACTTAAAGAATGGCTTTGAGGACACAGTGAACCAACTTTCTTAGCAGCTGACCTAGCAATGGATTTAATATAGTCTTTTCACTTCATGTCAGCTGAGAACGTTAGCCCGAGAAGGCACAGTATTCTAAGCATGGACGTATGGTAGACTTATAGATATGTAAGATAGATTTCGGAGAGAAAAATTGTCTTTCCCGATACAGTGAACTAACTTTCTTAGCAGTTGACCTAGCAATGGATTTAATATAGCCTTTTCACTTCATGTCAGCTGAGAATGTTAGCCCGAGAAGGCACAATATTCAAAGCATGGATGAATGGTAGACTTATAGTCATGGAAGATAGATTCTGGAGAGAAAAATTGTCTTGCACGACAGTGAACCAACTTTCTTAGCATATGACCTAGCAATGGATTTAATATAGTCTTTTCACTTCATGTCAGCTGCAAAGATTAACCAGAGAAGGGGTAATGATTAAATGACTTGAGCTTGATAAACTTCCATTTGAGTTCATTGGATTCCCTTACATGTTAATACCCTTGGGAAAAGCATGAGTCCATCTTTCTTTCCCTCCAGCTATGGGTGAAAAGCAGACAGACCCTGTTCTATAGCCCCAGGTGGAAGCTAATCTAAGAAAAAGGAAAACTGACTTCAAAACTGTATGTAGCCCTGTCAAAGCACATGCTATGCAGCTGAGGAAAAGATCGTTCACATTGACTCGATGATCCTAACTATCATTGACTCCTTAACAGATGAGGTTCCATAGCCTTGGGTGGTAGCCAGTCTAGGAGAAGGAAAACTAAATTCAAAACTGTATGTAGCCCCGGTGAAGCACATAAGGAAAGAATCGTTTGCTTGACTCGATGATTTTGACTACAGTCGATGCCTTAACAGACTGGGTTCTATAGTCTTGGGTAGCAACCGGTCTAGGAAAAGGAAATCTATCTAAATTCAAAACCGTACGTAGCCCCAGCGAATCCCATTCTACACAGCTAAGGAAAGGATTGTTTGCATCGATTTGATGATCCCGATAACAGTCAACTCCTTAACAGACTGGGTTCTATAGCCTTGGGTGGCAACTGGTCTAGGAGAAGAAAAACTGAATTCAAGACTGTATGTAGCTCTGGTGAAGCACATACTATGCAGCTAAGTAAAGGATTGTTTGCATCGATTTGATGATTCCGACTACGGTTGACACCAGTTATGTAAACCTACACAGAACAATCCTTGAAAATGAAGGTAACAACATTCCAAAGAACTCAGAAAAAAAAATGTAAATAAAATAAACATCAAATAATAAAACAATTAATTAGGAAATTTGAAATCAGTGCACGCCAAAAATAAGTATACAGTTTTTTAATTTATATACGGTATATTTAATATATATATATATATATATATATATATATATAATTATTATTTATATATTGACCTGACTTTTTTTTTTTTTTTTACACATGATAGTGCCACAGTTCTGAAACAGAGTTAACCCAAACAATTTTTCACCCCCTCAAAAAAAAAAAAAAAAAAAAAAAGTGAGGTTGGAGAGGACACCTCACTTTGGCAGTAAGGGAGTTCCTAATTCAAACATTCCTACAAAGTTGGATAGGATGATGTGTCAGCATTAAATGGCCACTATGTTCACCTGACTTAATACCAATGGACTTGTTTTTTGTGACGAGCATAAAGAATAAGCTTTATGAAGTGGGGGGGGGGGAATCACCACACCGTAGACGGATTAAAGGAGTTGACATTGACGCAGATTGGAATTTGTGTCATACTGTGTGTCACAGTGTCCTGGAAAGGTTCAAGGAATGTTGTGAGGTTGAGGGCAAGCATTTCGAGCATTTACAAGATGAAACGGTATTAAACAAATGTAACTGTAATAAATAAAAAGTAAAAAAAAAAAAAAAAAACTGTCAAGTGTATATTTGACCCACCCAGTCTGTCATATATATATATATAACCGTTTAAATGTGTCAAAGTGCTGCTAACTCACTCATGTCTTATCTCTCTCCCCCCTCACTTCGTTAATTTACATATGTTTAATACGGCCCGTCAAAAATGTGTAAATTTTCTTTATTTTTTATTTGGAAGTAAAGTCTGATGATCCGCAGTCCTTTGAAAGGGCTATGGTGAAATAATTTATTACATGGAACCTTAAAGTGGTCTGTTTTTATTTAAATTATTTGCTCTGGATTTACATTGAGCTCTCTGAATTTTACCCTCCTTAGGTTTACCCATACAGATTACCTAGTTTTTCATAAACTATATATATATATATATATATATATATATAGCCAGAAAATATTTAATGATAATATTCTAGCCAGAAAATATTTAATGATAATAACTGGTGGGCTATATATATTTTCAAACATTATTGCCAGTGTTTATTTTGTCAGCTGGGCCAGGCACTTGAAAAAAATTCAAAGAAAATGTGACTTCTGGCAGTATTCAAATCTGTGTCAGCCCCACCCCAGTCTCTACAGTTAAAACCAGTCTCATCTAGCATGTAAAAGAAGAGTTTTTCACAGTCAAGCAAGGTTCGTCTTACACATTTACTCTGTTTGATACCAGAAACATAAATGAAACAATTAATCGATTTTCTTTTATAACCCAACTCATTTTTATTACTTCAAACTTTATCAAAATATGTCAGATAAAAAAAAAACAAAATAAAATCCATTAATATGCATGTTTGTGTTTTGAACAATAAATGTATATTATAAATAAGAAATATTGAAATTTTCAGATGCACTGGGTCGCATATTAATATTTTTTGTTTTATTACCTCAATTAGGTACCTGAAATAGTTTCGACCAGCATGGTCATCATCAGGAGAAAAAAAAAATTCTGCTTGTTAGTAGCAGTGAACTGCAGAAGTGAATGATTTGATGGAGAAAGTGAACTTTATCTGTAGTTTTAATTTGTTTTTTTTTTTTTTTAGTCTTATTGTTAATTTTGGTGAGTTCTTGTGTTGGTCAAACGGCCTCTTTCAAGTTGTTTTTAAGACAGAGGATGGGAGATTTCTGACTCTCCTTGGTCATTTTGACAGTTTTACTGGTTTCTGGGAATGGGATGTGTGTGTCTCTCTCTCTCTATATATATATATATATATATATATGATACAAAACCCCCTTGAAAATGACTAAAGAACAGATGCCCCCGTCTTTGTAAAGATTTTTTTTTAAAAAAAAAAAAAAAAAAATTACATACAACTTAACAAGTTATTCAAAGTAATAAAAATATTTTAAAGGCCAATTTCTGTAGTGGCCAACAAGAAAAATATATACTGAATTTATCAAGTGTAAATACCCACGATGAAATTCCATCCACAGCCTGAAGGAAAATTCTAAAGATTCCATGCTTAAATTTCAGCAGTTAAAAAAAAAAAAAAAAAAAAAATGAACACAAAAGATTAATGCCCGAGAAGGAAAGTTACCAAGTTCTCTCCTGTCACTGTTATTTCGAGAGAAAATCCACAGTAGGTTTTTCCAGGCATTTAGACAGGCTAAAATTAAAGTGGATAGGCAGTTGTGCCATGGATACCAGCTCAGAATGAGAAATCACCAAGCGGAGTTCAAATTCCAGTTGAGCTCGTTACATTTACTTACGCAAAAACAACTTTGGGAAAGGTATCAATCTCTTCTTCCTCTTCTACCAAAACAATAAAAAAAAAAAAAACGCGAGAAAGGAACACGCAAAACACCAAACATAAAAAAAATACACCAAAATGAAACAACATTCAATGCAGACAAAAGGTCAATCGCTATCTAGTCTCTTTATCCTTATAAATCTTAATTTTCTACAGCATTTTCTCCCACTCATATCACACACTTTCTTTCATTTGTTGAACTCTACCTTGAGGGTCTCTTATTTTAATGAAGATATATTTTAAGTCCTTTGCATCACATATCATTACACAAAATATTTATCCTCATCTGTCTCCCTACTGCTAACCAAAAAAAAAAAAATGGAGAAGTGGAAGCTGCATCTTTCGAGAGGGGGGAGTAGGGGGAGAGAGGGGGGAGAGGGGGGAGAGGGGGGAGAGAGGGGAGAGAGGGGGAGAGGGAGAGAGGGGAGGGAGAGAGAGGGAGAGGGAGAGAGAGGGAGAGGGAGAGAGAGGGGAGAGGGAGAGAGAGGGGAGAGACCGTTAAGCTCACCACATTAACCAACTTAGTCACAATGAACAAATTTTTTCTTATCTGCAGTTTCATATCCAAATATAAACAGAATTTTAGAATGAATTTGTTTTATAGCTTCAAATAACTTTGAAATGTCCTGCATCTCTTCTGGATAGTCTCCTTGTTCAAGTTGGTGAATACTGCCATAATCCTTGCTTTCATCTTTGGTGTTAAAAGGAGTTTTGTTGGTCTCTTCCTCAACTGTACCCCACACGTAATAATCAAGGCGGTTGCAGTCTGGGTAGTTAGTGGCCAGATGTAATGGGTTATGTCATCGCAGAAATTGTCTAACAGCAATGACTGTTCTCTTGCTTGCATCACATGGTGCAGTGTCCGGTTGCCAAACATAAGGTCTTCCAGCAGCAACCCTCTGGTCTCAGGAAAGCACTACCTCCTCAAGGTACTTGATTAGGCTTCCCGTTGAGTCCGAGGTCCTCAGGAACAAATTTGGTAGTTCTTTTCTTATCAGAACAATCAGTTTTCCAAGCTGCCATAGCTTCATAATCATCATTAGACACATCCAACTCTTTCCAAATCCTCTGAATTGTCACCAGATTGGCATGCAAACACTGAATTGTCTTGTTTGTGCTTCCGGTGCAAATGCCAAGCAGTACAGCATGCAGTTTCCAAATTTCTGGCAGAATTGCGTCGTGGTGCTCTTTTTCTCGCAGATGGTGCCCAACTGACCCTACTATACTGTGCAGTCAACAAAATCAAAAAAATGCACATGCATGAAATTGAAATTATAAAAATGGCGACAATTTACCCATCGCACCCTCTGTGTGTGTGTGTGTGTGTGTGTGTGTGAATAAATAAATAAATAAATAAAAAGTAAAAAAATCCATTGCTATATAATCCAAGTGGATCCTAGTAATATGAAAGTAGAACTGATCCACAAAAAAGCTTGATGTATTTTATTTATACAGAGCAATATAATAATAATCGAAGAAATCCTTTGACCTCATATGGGGAAAAGGGTATTTCAACTGACAAAAAAGTGGTCATCTGTTTTTTTCAAACTTACAGTTTTCAGATTCCACAACAGAATTGTGGTCTGCCGAAATAGCCTATTCCTCATACGAGGTAAAAGAATTTTATATGTGTATATAGTCAAACACACACACACGTAGCCACAAGTAGACTGCCAAGTTTAAGACTTCTAAAAGATAAGGCAAAAAAAAGTCTTTTTAATTCTAATGGATTTCCTTCTACTGACTGAGTGGTGGTAATAAGTCATTTTTGTCTAGACAGTGGAATCGTAGGAAAGATTTGGATTTAAACAAGCCACAGAAATCTTTACAACCACAGGCAGTGCTTAAGTTAGATAAGAATTTCAAGAATGTAACCCCCTTACGAAGGTTACCAAATGAAGTAGATTTTACTGAAAACACGAACAACATGTACACCCCTTTTCCGCAGCTCACATTACTGAAAAAATAAACTTAATACAAAATACACAAAACAAATATATCAGTAAGTAAAATGATGGAAAAGAAAGCCATTACTAAGTAAATCCTGGGGTAGCTATCATGAAGAGGAAAAAAGTTTTTACACGGATTAGAAAAAAAAAAAAAAAATTAGTCAAATTTTCAACTCCTGATGCCAACTACTTGCGGATGAATATTTGTATACAAATTAAACAATTTATAAATACTTAAATAATCTTACTTATTATAAAACGCAGATTGTGTGTGTGTGTGTGTGTGTGTGTACGTTTATATATTGGATCGGATTTCCTATATTTTTCAACCAATTTCAACAAAACTTCACAGGACTATTACCTTGTGGTGGTTCTGACAGTGCCAAAAATTGGAAAAACAATTGTTTTTGCATGAAATCAATTTGAAAACACGATTCTGCCACCAGAATGAAAGGGGGACAACTCATATCGAGTTATACTTATAAAACCCAGCTTGTGTGTGTGTGTTCGTGTTCATTTATATATGGGATCAGATTTCCTACATTTTTCAACTGATTTCAACAAAACTTCACTTTTTGGCAAGTAGTGTTTCTTACAGTCTTGCAAACATTTTTCTTTATTTTTACATTCAGAATGCTTTAAAAATTCCATTTACAAGGCAATTGTTTATAATAAAATTCTATTCAATTGGTAGACTCATAACGATTGAAAACAATGTTTTTGTTAGAGTTTGGGTTTGACCAATTCATAAAACGAACTAATTAAGACATGCGTGTTCGTCAACCTTAAACAATCTTTGTCAATTTTATTTTTCAGTCTTCATGATGGTCGATACTTGATCTATCTCTTACTGTTACATCCCCGGACAATGCTGGGCTCTACTACTAGTTTTTTTTAATATGTTTAAAATTTACTCAATTTGTGGAGGATGTGTTCGTTTGGTTTGGTTTGTTTTACAGCATATCAACCTCAAGAGGTTATTTAATGCCGTCAAGATTTTTATTGCTGGTAATATTTTTTTTTCAAAAATGTATTGCTGGCAAAATTTTTTCAAAAAAATGTATTGCTGGTATTAAAGCCTATTTTTATATTTTCATAGTATTTTGAGCCCTTTTGCCATTAGCCATGACCCTGACAGGTGCTACCAGCCCGGGTCAGGGTGGACCTGAGAGCACCAGCAATTAAGACCTACTTCCATGCTCCTCAAAACCCCTGATCAGAGGACTTGCTGCTGGACATAGTCGGGATGTGAGGGTGTGTTCTTTATTCTCATGCAGGTTAAATAATTTGTAGATTGAAACCCTAAGGACATTATATATATATATAATGTTGAATGACATGCTAATTCTACAAACAGCAGCCACCTGTGTTAATGTGAAGCTCTTCAGTAAAATGAATGGAGCACTCTGGCTGATTGACATTTGTTTACATTTGTAAAAACAATACACTAGGTTTAGCTGCCTCATTCTGTCAAATGAAGATAGATCAGTGGGGGAAACTGACACCAAATCGGTTGGGTTTCAATTCTGGCTTGAGGCATTCAGTTGTTTAATTGCACTGAAGAGCTGGGATACAGTGAAACAGTACTGTCTGCAAATGATAGAGAGAGAGAGAGAGATAGGAGGGAATGTATGGCAATGTAGAAAAAAGATTTTGCACGAGGCATCTCAAATCAAAAAGAAGCTAAACTCAACATCAAATTTGTTTTATTGACTTTGATCCATCTTAATGAAACACTCTTTAAATATATTTTTTGTTTATACATTATTTTTTATTGATACAATGTATTTAAGTAAATGATGTTTTTTTTTTTTCTTTTAATTAAACAGTATTAATTACATTTACAAAATTTCTCAAACATTCAAGCCGGTAAATGTAATTAATGCTGTTTATTTAAAAAACAGCATTTAATTCAAGAAATTGTATCTATTAAAATAACATACAGACAGAAAATATATTTTATATATAATATATATTGCTTTCTGACAAAGAGACCCGAGTCTGAATCGCACCAAACTTGATTTGTTAAGAATGTGGCTTCTTGATGTTGGTGCTGAGGGGGAGGCGATGTCAGTGGGGAGCATCTTTGGAAAGTGCTTGAGAACCATAGCATCCAAGCCTTGTGAGTGAAATTTGGTAGATGGAACACATTTGGGAGCCCATCATGCTTGTGTTGGCATCGTGACTGCTGTGCTTGATTGACTCTCTCTCTCTCTCTCTGAAATTATAACTAAGTTTCACTCAGCATAGTTGTAGTATATTTTATATATATATATATATATATATATATATATATATATATATGAAAAACAAAAATCTTTGATTAGTCTTACTCTTATATCTATCATCTTTTCATGTTGACTTGAATATCATCTAATGTTAATTATGTTTTAATAACTATGTCCTGAAGAAGGTCTAGTAGACCGAAACATCTGACGTAGACATTGAAATAACATTAGAACAACATATTTGCATATTCAGATTTTTGTTTTTCAATATATTTTTCTTCATACTGTCGGATCTATATATATATATATACACACACACACACACACACACAAGTATAAAACACAGGTGGGCTCTGTGGGTGCTTAAACACGTGCCTGAGCAGGTGTCTTCAATGAGGATTGTCTAGCTGTCCAAGTAGATAGGCCTTCTTGGATACAAGATAGACACCCCACCCTACCTCAGCTTGGCCTCTTCCCAAAGGTGACAGATATGTGGATAAAAATTAACTCTTAGACCCCTTATCAAAAATGGTCACCCCAGCCATTTCCATTTCAATTAATTTTGCGAATGAACATGCTTATAAAGATGCATAAATTTCAAGATTGGTTATTCCTAAATTTTCACTTGAGGATGAAGCAGGGCTTGATACTTTAATTCAATTTAATTTTAATAATTATATTACAGTAATAATGAAGAGTGTATAGAGCCAGAGTGTTGGGATAAAAAGCAACAATAATAAGATGGAATAAAACTAGAAATAAAATAATAGTAATAATGAAGAGTGTATAGAGCCAGAGTGTTGGGATAAAAAGCAACAATAATAAGATGGAATAAAACTAGTAATAAAATAATAGTAATAATGAAGAGTGTATAGAGCCAGAGTATTGGGATAAAAAGACAGGAATAATAAGATGGCATAAAACTAGCAATAGTTTGGGTTAAAATGATTGAATTATACATAACTTTAAACTAATTCCAAAACGTAAAATAATGTCAACTATTTATTCTTGGTTTTGAATTGTAAAAATAAATTTCAAAGTTCAAAAAAATCTGAGTAAGTATAAGCAGTGAACACCGTTACGGAGGACTCTCCAGTATTCGCATTACAAATATAACTTACATCGAGTTTATTTATAGAAGCTTCTGGTAAGATATCATAATCTAGCACCTTTACACTCAAGGCCAACATCTGAATATCTTGAAATTCTACTCTGGGTGTGTGGGTCTCGAACATGATCTTTACAACAGTGGCATAGTGGATATAGGTGTCAGTTAATTTGATATAGTAGTTATTAGTTCACTAACTAGAACTAATAAATCTACATTTAACAAACAAACAAAAAAAACAAAAAAAAACACAAATTTTAATTCTCCTACATATTTT